TGGGAATTTGATATATCTGGAGATGGAATCAAGTTGGTAAATTCCGGGTTTATGGAAATGAATGAAATCTTGATAAAAGATTGACCCAGCGATTTGGAATATGGATGTATAAAAAATCTGCAAATTTCCCAATTCAGACTCCGTTATAAAATCACAGGAACAACAACTTTGATTTGTTAGTATAGAAGTTTTGCAGATTCGTTTCCAAAATTAAAAGAAATACTTTGTGACAAGTTTATATCACACACCAGGGGACTCTTTTCCATAAGGTTCTCTAAACTTTTTGTCAATAAAACGTAATCTTTAAAAAATGTTAATTGAAAAGATATTAATTTATGACACAAACTATTGGCTTAATTAAAACTTATTGGTAAGTGTTGAATATGGAAAATGATTCATACTTATTTTAATAGTAATTGTCATTTTGAATATTTTAATATTCTACAAAATCAATCTCGCAGGAATGGAAGGAGTAAAGATTTAGATAATGCCACTTGGTCCTATTGACATTATCTCTAAGTTGATCTTTTGATGTATCTCAATGAATGATTGTGCTATACATTATTAATCTATATAATTTAATTATTCCAATACATATATGCCACTTGGTTGGTCCAAAGATATCTCCTCTCATAGTTGGGCTGCCCACCTTGACCAGATTTAAGGCCCATAACTTTCGCTGCATAGCTTGTGTTTCATCATAACTCGTGAAAATCACCTTAGATTTCCAATTTGAAGTTTGCAAGTATTAGGGTTGATTTGCCAAAATTAACAAATTCTACCTATTCAAATTCCATAAAAGAAACATAAGGCGAAAGAATTGTATAAAACTTAGAGACCTAATAATTTATCTATCTATAATTTAACAACTTGCCTTGTCTTACTCTTACATACCACCGAAAGAAAAACATCAACGGCGATAACGGAGCAAGTTCGCAGTCGTCAATTCTTCATTGGTTGAGCATGACGTGTTAAACGGCAAATCAATTTTATATGCTCAGCAAAAATATTAAACCACGTCAGTTTTTCTCCTTTGCAATTAATTAAAAAATACGTATAATTCATGATTATTGATGCTGCCCTAATGAGCAAATTAAGATTATCTACCTAACCAGAGAAAGAAACAAAGAGGAGGAAGAAGAAGACGAACCCTAAATTAATTTTGCCAATTTTATTAAAGAATTTATATTTGGGGAATCTTTACATATATAATTTACATACACTTTCCCGCACAACTCTGTTTTCGGGTCCCACATTTTTATTTATTGTATTAACTCAATTTTTTTGAAAAATAAGATAAAATCCAAATCAGTAATTCATCCAACCACGGACCCGATCTTTGCATCTTCGCATCGACATTGAAATGGAAACAAAAAAATCCAGTTTATTCTTTTGAATTGAAATTAAATAAAAAAAAACAAAGAAATTGAAAAAGGTAAAAAATAAAGAGAGAATAATTTAGCAAGCCTCGTATATAACACCAATCCATCTATCCATCTTTTTCTCCTCTATTTCGATATTTCAA